AGTTAAGATCTTGTCTCAGAAGAAAGAAAAATATGAACATAATCTTAGAATCGATGTAAGTGGTGAAAAGAATATCATTTAAGTATACTTTATAGAATTAGACTAACCATATGGTCTTTTTGACAGATTTACGGTTCTCCCCTAACATAAAATATTAAAATACATAAACTTACATGCATGAGTCAGTTCACTAAACCCTATGGAAGAAAAAGAAATGATTTTTTTTTAAACTAGGGTTCATCTTGCCTTTGAAACTAACTGCTCATCCAGAAAAGACTGGCAACAGATTAAGCAACATTTCCCACCCGTTTGCTTTGACTAATACTATTCCCTCTTTGGGATATTCCCTTCTATTTCCTCTCCAATAATCTATACCAAAATCCAACGAGAGCATCCTCTATGATGCTAACCACTGCACGGCCAAATCCTATGTTCCGTGCTCCTCCAGCACTGACATGCTGCAATGGAATGCACTATCATATAATCGTTTGAGGGTTGCCTTATACAGTACAGCACATTTGTTTCACGTACACTATCTCCTCAGCTAGACTACCTTTTCTTCTTCATCTCTTCATCCATTTCTTAAATTCTGCATCTTAAGATCAGTGAACAATGAATGTTTTCTGACACTCACTGATTACAAATATCATGCAAAACAAGGTCACACATTTCATTTAGAGTACCAATACTTATACGCAGGGCTGGTAATGCAGAAATGTCTAATAAACATTTTAGAATGAATACTCTATGGAAGACAGGATTAAATGTTTTGGCATATGTATATCTAATAGGAAATCTAGAAAGAGAAACAAGAAAGAACAGAGAAGAAACAAAAGTCAAGGAGAGAATAATATACAGGTTTTCAGATTTGATGAAAATGACAAATCCTAAGGCTTAGGAAACACAATGAATCCCAAGCAGGAAATATAAAGCAAAACATGCATAAAAACACATCATACTGGAACTTCAGTACATCAAAGAAAGAGAAAGGTGATCTTAAGATCAACAAGTGAGAAAATACAGATTACCTATAGAACGAGCAATAATTAAACTGGCAGCTGACTTTTCAAAAGCAGAGTTGAAGCCAGAACATAAGGGAATAATGACTTCAAATTTATCAGCTAAAAGAACTATCAATCTATATCCAACTAAGGTATTGCTCAAAAATTAGGGCAAAATAAAAACAAACAAAAAACCCCTCAAACACCAAATTGAGAGTTATGATCAAGTAGCACCCACTGAAAGGATTTTAAAGGGTATACTTTAGCAGGAAGGAGAATGAAACAAAACTAAACACTGAAATGCAAGAAGGAAAGAGAACAAAGAAATTGGTAATCATGTCAATAAATCTAAACAAGCATTGCCTATGTGAATCGATTATAATATTGAGTAAAGTGGTAAAAAGTAAGGTAGAACTCAAATCCTGAGTAACAGTAACATGGAAATCAGGAGAGAGTTAGTGGAGTTAAAGTATTTTGGGGTCATTTTGGAAAGAGAGTAGAATGACTAACTTCAAACTTAAAGTCAAAAATATTAAAAAGTTACCTAAAAGAATACAAATAAAGTATATAAATTCCAAGCCAAGGAAAAAGATACATTAACCTGAATGAAAGAAAAATAAATCAGGAAAGAAGGGGAGAAAACAAGTATAGAAAAGGCAGCATAGAGATAAAGACTAAAATAAGATGTTCAAATAAATTCAGTAATTCAGTAATAATAATGCAAAATATAAATGTGCTAAACTTCCTAGTTAGACAAAAGAGATCTCACATTACATTAAAAGCAACAAAAAATCCATCTACATGTTATTATAAGAGAAACACTTCATAAAAATACAGATTGATGCCAAAAGGAAGTAAAAAAGATAAACCAAGCAAATATTAACCAAAAGAAAGGTAGTATAGCTATATTAGGATCAGACAAAATAAATTTGAAGGCAAAGAGCCATGTTAGAAATAAAGAGGGTTGCCACAAAATTATTTTTTTTAAAAGGTCACCAGGGAGATATGACAATTTTAAATAGGTAAGAATCTAACAGATTCTTAAATTGATCTCTCAAAATACATACAGCAAAAACTGACAGACTTACTAGAATAAGCAAGCTCACAATCACAAAGTGAGACTTTTAACACCCTTTTATTAAAGTAAGATTCTTTATGGCTTTTATCTGTCTCTCTGCCAACATCCCTCTCTAGAATGTAATCTAAAATGTATCATTATTGTCTATTTTATTCACAGATGTATTTTAAGAACACAGAGCAGTGCCAGGCATGTAACAGCTGCCTAACACATACTTACTGAGTGTTTAAATTAATCAAGATTAAAAAAAGATAATAACTATAGAGACTGGATAGTATAATTAACAAGTATGATCCAGTGAATTCTCATGGAACCTGCCCTCCTACCTCAATAGTCTTCTCAAGCATACATGAAATATTTATGAAAATTCACCATGTGCTAGACCATATTCTCTAACCACAACACAATTAAGTTAGAAAACAACAACACAATAAGTTCCATGCACTATAAAATATAAAACACAGTTCTAAACAACTCAAAGGAAAAAAATCATAATGAAGATTACAGAAACAGAAGATCAAAGGAAACAGAACTTAATGATAATGAAACTATTATATTTCAAAGTTTGTAGTAAGCAGCTAAAGACTACCTAGAGGGAAATCTACAGATTTACATGCATATGTGAGAAAAATATAGGATAAAAATTTGATGAGCTACACATCTAAATCAAGAAGTTACAAAAAAAGTTACCTAGAAAGTAAACACAGAGAAAAATAGATGCAAAAGTTTAAATAAAATTCTGGCAAGCTTAAGCCTGGAACACATAATAAATAATAATACATCATGATTTAACTAGGTTTAATCCCAGGAGTTCAAGGATAGTTTAACATCAGAAAGTCTTTTAATATTTTTCACTGCATGAATAGATTAAAGAAGAAAATCACACAATCTTCTCTGTAGAGACAGAAAGAGCATTTGATAAAATTAAACACACATCCATGATTAAAAGAGAAACAGAAAACCTAGCAACTAGGAACCAAAGAGATCTTCTTTACCTGGTATCATTGGGTACCTATCAGGAAGTACTTAACTATAAAGTTGTGAAATAATTTTCCTTAAAATCAGAACAAGTCAAGGATGCCCAATTTGTATTCAGCATTGTACTGGAGGTCCTAGCAAGTACAAAATAATTGAAAACAATCAAGATTTCAAAGGAAAAGCCAATGGGAATGTGTCTATAGATGAGATATACTTGTACCCGCAGAGGTCTCAAGAACTGGTTGTAGAATTCATTACCTTCAGACAAGACTAGGATTCCAGAATACCTAGATTTTTAGAAGCCCAGAGTTTTCTTATTTTTGTGTCTTTTGCTCTCTTTAAAATTCACAGTTGTATTTTGCCTAAACAGATGCTCTAGCATTGTCTGATTCTTTTACTTGTACTCAGCTCTTTTATAACCTGAACTTTCCAGGTTGACCAAGGACTCAAATTTAGTTTGACCTGGTGCCTAGTAATTATACTTCCCATTCTGTGTTTACACAAGAAGGCTGAGCACGCTCCTGGAGATTCTTTTAGGACCTCCCCACTTGCCACTGCGCTGAGGAAAATCTATAAACAGTACTGAGCTTGGCCCTAGGAGGAAGGCATACTACTGGTCTCTCCAGGAAATGTTTAGTCTTTATCATTTTCAGTGCGTTTTTGCAAGCTGCTTGCAAATAATACTAACTCTTTACTAAAATGTCATCTCAGTAATTGATAGTGGAGTTGTATTTAACTTTCTTCTCCCTTGGTTCTTTAAATGTTCTGCTGTTGCAGTTTTTCTAAGTATTTTTGTATAATGAGTCACTCTTAGCAACTGACTGGGAATGTATAAAGAAGGCTTTTTTTTTCTATTTTGATTTACTGTGCGATTGACCCTGGGCCAGTCACTAAACCTAATCAGGGAACTTCATTCATTGCTAAATAAAGATAAAAGGCCTGGAGAGCAGGGTTAAAATTAGATCCTGCCACCTAATGACTCAGTCTCTTAATAACTGACTCACAGAAATTAATCAGCTTTTTCCTGTAACAATTCCATTTGGAAGAGATCTCTTTTATTATTTTTGTCTACTTGTAGCCCTTCTACATCTCTCTCTTCCATCCTCTGTTACCTCCCCATTTGTTTACTTAACTTTACTTCTTAGTTTCAGTGAGCAAGCCCAGCACTCCATGGTAATCAGCTCCAAATTTAGTTTTGATGTTGTGAGTGGCAGAAGGGAGGGGGGAGGGGGGAGGGGAGGGAAAGAAAAGGAAAGGAAAAAGATACAAGTTGAAGGAAAAGTGGACATAGAGACAAAAGTCTTAATTCAGGTTTAAGCTCTTCCACATACTAATTTTGTGATCTTAAGAAAGTCAGCTAATCTACCTGGGGTGCATTTCTAAATTATGAAAGGATAACCACAGTACTCTTTCACCTTGTTAGCAGTTGTTACAAAAACCAGACAATGAACGTAGACAATACTTTGAAAAACTGTAAAGAACAATATATTTGTATTCACATTAACTGAATAATTCTATTCACTGATCTAAGAATTTAGTCATAATACACATGGGAAGTCTTAAGCGATATCCATCCATGCTAGATAGATACTATTAAAAATTATAACTGAATAATTTATAAGTATGTAAACAACAAATCCAGGACAAGGAAGACTTTAAAGTAATGAAATGTAATTTTAGAATGAAAGCAGCATGATTTGGGCTCCTGCTGGAAAAGTAGAAAATAAACTAATTAATACCTGAAGATCCTCCTCATTCTAAGTTTTAATCTTTTGAATCCACTATCTATGGTAAAAGCTAAAAATACAAAATAAATGAAAGGCAAACTGAAGAGTTAACAAATTTCAAGGTGGAACCAAAAGAAATCTTGCAAATGTGGTCCCTGGACCATGCAGAAGTTTAAGGAAAAAAATCTGAAGATGAAAGCTGCCTCATTTTCTTACCTTTGCTCTGTATTAAAGAGTGCAAAGATGTGCTTGCTAGACATAAAGCTCTTTTCCACATCCCGAACTTTCAAGTTGTCCAACGGAAGCATATACTTCTTTTCTTTTTCCTATTGAGAGAGAGAAATAGAAATGACTGGCTTTAATAAAAAATCATTGAGACATGCTCATGGAAACACATCACCTGAGTTGGCCAACATTTGATCACAGTATTTCGATGCCATCTCACATTATTTTGATGCCAACTACCAAGGGATAAAAATTGTCAGAGATAGGAGACTCTGATGATTCTCAACATGTGGGTGAGAAGGATGAGGGGAGGGAGAGTGAAGAGGAAGGAAGGGCTCAGGGATGGAGAAAACACATGGTCCTCTATCCTTTCTTCCTCATGTGGGTCCCCTTAGATGTTTTAAAATGTTAGTTTGATATTAAAAATTTAGCCATCTGTTAATATTTAACAAAAATGTTCTGGTCCTAATTCAATGAGAAATGCCAGATGGATTTCATTTCATATTTTATTTGCAGCCTAAGCAGTTTTGATAGCCAGCGCTGGCAGGAGCCTGGAAGCACAAGGGCCCTGGTATGAAATACCCCCTATAAACTCTGATAAAGCACAAAAAATACTTCCTTCATTTGGGTCGAGAATCATAAGTGGGTCCAGAAAAAAAATAATTCCATTGTCAAGCTCTTTGGGAAAAAAAAAAACTCATTAGAATTGAACTGATATTAATTAGAAAAAATTCTCTTTTAAAATTAACAATTCTTTAGGAAGAAAATTGACATTAGTGAGGGGAGGTCTGCCAATGGAACCAAACCAGTCTTTGTAAAACATACTGGGTGCCAAAGAATGATTAGAAACATTTACTTTTAAGGACTGGCCCAGGGCAATATTCTCTTATGCATAAATACCTAACAACCAGTATAATAGGAGACAGCCAAGCACTCAGCTTAAGAGACCTAGTCAATATCTAGTACCTGGCGCATTTCAGCACTTGTTAAACAGTAGTGCTATGTATGGTCCCTGCCGGGATCTCCCACACTAGACCTGAGAAAAAGCAGCCCTAGACTCTAGAGGAGAGGAGTGTGGAGACCTGGCCATGACTTTTAATAAACTATTCCTGGCTGTGGGAAATACATGCACTGAACAGATATGTCTGACATAATCCTTCTTGCTCCTGCGGCTCCTACAGCACCCCTGAGAATGTGTCTAGGCTCAGGAGTGTGGAGCAGAAGTCTTCCGTGCTCCCTAGCCAGTTTGCGGCGGCCATGTTTGCAGACAACAGAGTGTTATTGCAAGGACTATCAATGGCTGCTCATTCCTAATTTAAAAAGGAAAATTTGGGCTGAGCACATTAGAATACCGAAGCAGAGAGAAACAGATGACTAAAGAAGTTGCAGGAAGCTGGCTGGAGAACAACATGGCTGTCCTGGCAGGCAAGGTATTCAAGGTCTTCAAAGAAGATAACAAAACAGATTGAAGAAACGAAATAGGAATGAAAGAAGCTGAAGAATAAACACAAAAATCCAAGGCACTGTGAGAAGATTCTAGTATTTCTTATACAAAAATTGGCAATATATTATCAAACACAAGGATATTCTAAATAGAAAAACACATACATTGATAAATTAAGTAAACGAAGCATCATAGTTGAGTCCTACTTGTTTGAAAGACTTGTCAGACTATTTTAGGACAGAATTCTCAGAGGCAAGATCGTAAACTGAATGAAAAGCTACCCAATATATAATCAAATGAAAATGCTTGAGACTCAGGGAACATTTTTTTAATTGGATGTTTTTCAAAGCCCTAAATGTAAGCAGCTGGATTTTTTTTAATGCACCATCCTATTCAACCTTTTGAAATGATGGATTCGCCTCTTAATAGGAAATCTGCATCTCATTGTAAAGATGGAACACAATGTCCTTGGCATGTTTTCTACAGAAGTAGGCTCCCTTTTGTACTGCATTCCTTAGCATATAGTGAAGACCAAAAATCCAGCAAGTTTATGTCAGATGCTAAACACTGGAGAAATATACACATATGCAGACAGGGGAACATAAAAAAAAATGTAGATTCACTTCCAAAGTACTAAATGTCATTTATCCAAGATTTCTGAAGACATATTGCTAAAGTATTTCATATTCAAGGGTTTTGAGAGTGACAAAGAAAGAAGAAAAAAGAAGATTCAGACTGATTTGTTTAATAAAATTGTAAGTCAAATGCAGAACTAAATGAGAGAGCAGTGAAACAGTGTATCACAGATATTTCTAAAATTCTTGGTGCTTCTGAGAAAGAATGATGTTCTGCTAACAACATCTTGACCATGAAGTAGCTAAAATAAACAAAAGAAATAGAGTAGAAGAAAGGATAAACAGGTAATTTTTAAAATATAGTGAGTCTTAGCACCTGCTTAATTGAGACAGTTGCTATATAATCTGGGTTAGTTCTATTAAACTGTCTAATAATGCAGTGTTCAATACGGTGGTCTCCAGACACAGGTAGACTGAGTACTTGAAATGAGCTAGCTAAATTGGAATGTGCTCTAAGCATTAAATACACACCAGATTTCAAAGATAGTTTGAGAAAAAGAATGCAAACTACCTCATTAATACTTCTATGTTGATTATATGCTGAGATAATAATATTTAGAATATATTGGGGTAAATAAAGTATTGTTAAACATAATTTTATCTGTTTATTTATCCTGTTTAAAATGTGGCTGCTAGATGATTTAAAATGACATATGTGGCTCACATTAACTTCAACTGACAGTGAGGAGTCCATGTACCTACCATCGCTTTCCTTCCTCTCATCCATCCAATTTTTCTCTCTGACTTCCCTCTTTCTGCCATCAGGTGTAGTTTTCATTCTCCCAGTCACCAGTCTGAAACCTCACTATCATTTCTGATGTATTGTCTTCCTGCACCTCTTTTGTTACATCAAGACTGTGCTGCACTGTGTTTGAAGCATTTGTCAGAGCTCCCGTTGTTAGACACTCCCATTGCATTGATCCATGTCCCAGCATCCCACAAGCGTGTGGTTATAAATGGTCTCCTAGTCTCCTAATTCCTCTACCACCACCAGGAAGGGCAATTTTCTTAAACCGTCCTGTCAAATTTATTATAGTCCTTCAAAACCTTCATAGCTCCGCATTATTTATAGAAGAAATTCCATGAAACTCCTTAATGTGACATTGAAAAACACCTGCCAATTGTTCTGATCCTGATTTGTCAATATCTCCTTTACTCTTCCATAAGAAGTTTCCATTTCAAACAAATACATCTTTACCAACAGTCTTTTCTCTGTTTGAGATACCCTTTTAATGTCTCCCTTCTACATCAGTTTACTGTTCTAGAGTCCAGCTCAAGTTCTACCTTCTGTGCAAAAAGTTTTCCCAAGTGTGTAGCCGTGTGTCTGTATCACTCCCCCATCTCTCTCCCTTCAACTCAAACAGTTGATATTGTTTAGTCTATTCATTTTTAATTTACAGGTAATACCTTGGAGATATCACAGGTTTAGTTCCAGACCACTGCAATAAAGCAAGTATCACAAAAAACAAGTCACATGATGTTTTTGGTTTTCCAGTGCATATAAAAGTTATGTTTACACTATACTGTAGTCTATTAAGTGTGCAATAGCAGTATGTCTAGAAAAACAATGCACAAACGTTGATTAAAAAGTACTTTATTGCTGAAAAGTGCTACCCATCATCTGACAATGTAGGGTTGCTACAATCTTCAATTTGTTAAACACACACACACACACAAATTATCTGTGAAGCACAATAAAATGTATACCTTATATGAGAAATCCTCATTTTGTAAATGCATTACAGTAAAAAAATTGTGCCAAGGTTGTTCATTTGGAAGTCAGGATGTTCAGTCAACTTTACTTTTCAAGTAGGTTACATTTGCAAAGAAAAACAAAAAGTCAAGAATGCTTTTTGCAATGTTGGTAAATAAACAAGAAATAAAATTAGTTATTTTAAACATTTTATCTTGAATAGACATTTTGGAGGAAGCATCTGCAAAATTCTAGATAAAGATTTTTTAATGGAGATTCAGAAAGAAACTTGTATGTATTTTCAGAAGCTTCAGAAGCTCATGCCACTGATTGAACGCTGTTCTTTTCTTCACTTCTGAACACAGTACCATTCCTTTCTCCAATGTAAGACAGTTACCAGCACTATTTGTAGGAGAGGCATCCAGGATGACAGGGGTTCTTTGTTCAAAAGGAGAAGGAATGTGAGAGAGACAATGTTTTTTCCTTGTCACCTGGCAAGAGTTAGAACAAAGAGGAGAAAGAGGCAAGGCCAAAAAAGGAGGCACCTAATGTGTGAAAAAGCGTGGTCTGAGGTGGAAGTAACTGAACTATGAGTGATAAAAGCAGAGGAATCAAGATGGGGGAGGTAGGAATTAAGCTATAGCCACAGTATGTGTTCACTGAACTTGAAAGTAAACAAAAGGACCAATAAGGGACAGACATAGTTTCAACAAGTGTCCAGTGATGGCCTCTAGCTGGCCAAGCACCATCAATACAACGAGGTTGCTGGAAGGAGTGACAGTGGGTATGAGGAGGACGTTGGGTGTGTGGAGGAATAGCTCTGAATACGCAAGGGACTGGAAAGTCTTTGTACATCTGTGATTTACACATAGAGAGTTTTATAACTTGGGGAATGTTTGAGTGGCCTTGGCATTTTATATATGCATATCTTTCCCACTAATAAGGCAACAAAATCTTCAAGGATGAGATCACAAGTCCTTCCCCATTTCCATATATTATAATGCCTAGTAGAGTATTGGTCACTGAAATTTGCATACCACATATTATAAATATGCAAGTAATTGGGTTTTTTTTATCATTAAAGTTTTTTGAAGTTTAGATTGACTGCCATGTTTATTTTTACCTGTGCCTTTGTTTGCATTGTTTCCATTTGCTGGGCATGCCCTCTTCCCTGAAATTTATGTCAAGTGCTACTTCCTCCATGAAGCCTACTCTGATTACAGCATGTCACAGACCTCTTTATAGCTCACAAATTTTCCACAATTTTTGTCACAGGCTATAAAGAATGTCATTTCTTATTTATGTTCAGTTTCCGTCTTCAAGTAGATT